CATTGGTGGGTGTGGGGATCCTGGAGGATACAGGTGCATCAGGGGTGGGACACAGGCAGGCTGGCTCCAGTGGGCAGGACAAGAGTGGGACAGGCACTGTGCTCACCAGGTGCTGCAGGTCCTTCTGAGTGGTGTTGAAGATCAAGGACTCTGGGGGCTGCATGTCGTCCTCGTAGCGCAGGTTGGTGATGGTGAAGTTGAGGGTGAAGGACTCCAGGGGATGGCCTGAGGCTGCATCAGGGGAGGGAGAGGAGAGATACTCTGAGTAAAGTCTGCAGTGAACAAAGTGGGCTGGCAGGGTCTGTGGCCACAGTCCTTACATCACGGAGCACATTGCTTGAGAAGTTTTCAATGGCTGAGGAACCTTGGTGCCTAATGTATAAACCAAGCCTTGATTGTCACATGCTACAAGCAGGAGAGAAGGATCTGGAAGCTACAAATCTCTGATGAAAGAAGTTATTACATACCTCTATTTTTATGAATTTTTGAACCTACTTTTGTCTGTTTTTCCACTCAAACGACATTTAATGACCTTGGTGTGTGTCCAGGAAACAATACAAGGTGATCACAGCTGAGACCTATCCCACTGTCTTTCCAGGCTGTCACCTGGATCCTATCCTCCCTGACAGCTGGAGATGTGGGCAGGGGTCTGCTGCTGGTCCCCTGGAGGTCAAGGGCCCATGACAGGGTCCCTGTGAACTCACCAGTGGGAGTAGTTGCTGTGGCCTGGTGGGTGTAACCTGTAGCAGGAGAGGGGGAGAGAGGCGCGGGGGAGAATGAATATGAAGGTGTGAGTGGTAAGGACGAAGCCCGCCCAGACGTGGAGGACATGGGCTCTACCCTAGAACACAGCACGGGTGGCCCCTGCTCACCATTGACATAGAGACTGTTCTGGTCCAGGGCGTAGGGGCCCAGCTGGGTGATGCCGTGGGTCAGTGGGCTCAGCTCCCAGTACAGCTTCTCTCTGTCCAGCTTGGGGCCCACGGGGTCAGGATGGTAGGTGCAGACAGCGTCCACCCTGGTGGCTGACCCATCCTTCTCAGACCTGGGGAGAGAGGGGGGATGAGTGCATGTTCAGAAAAAGGTCCAGAGATACCTCTGAGTAGGGCAGAAAAGTGACAAAGAAAATGAGGAGGCCCTGGAAGTGTGGGAAGCCAGCCTGGTCATCCTGTGCACTGACTTCTGGGCGGCCTCCCCCTGGGAGAGGAGATTGCTGAAGGGAAAATGTTGCTGATGTTTGAAAATAAAAATGGAACCTCATGGCTTCGTGACATGTGAGTCCCAGGTGAGACTGGTGGAGAACTGGGGTTGTGCATTAAGGCCAATGTAGAAAGTGTGTCTATCACACGATACATCCTGGTAAGAGAATCCATCATCTAAAGGAAAAGGCCTTCTTGTAAAAGGGAGAAGGGAGAAAGTAGACAAGGGTCAGTGATGCTGACGGACAGAATTTGAGACAGCTCAGACCCTCTGAGTGTTGTTGAAGGGTTAATGGAGACCTTGGTGCTGGAGCTGATGTCTTCTGAGACCATCTCTGTGGAGGACAGGAAGGACAGAAGGGCAGGAAGGAAGCACCCACACTGCTGAGGCCTGGGAGCACCAGTGACCCTAAGTCTCACCTGAGCAAAGTCAGTCTGCAGCCAGAGTACAGGGGACCCACACTGGTGTTCTTGAACAAGGATCCGAGCTGTGGAGGAGAGAGGGGGGAGTGGGTCAGCTGAGAGGTGGGCAATGGCATCATTGGTGGGTGTGGGGATCCTGGAGGATACAGGTGCATCAGGGGTGGGACACAGGCAGGCTAGCTCCAGTGGGCAAGACCAGAGTGGGACAGGCACTGTGCTCACCAGGTGCTGCAGGACCTTCTGAGTGGTGTTGAAGGTCAAGGACCCTGGGGGCTGCATGTCGTCCTCGTAGCGCAGGTTGGTGATGGTGAAGTTGAGGGTGAAAGACTCCAGGGGAGGGCCTGAGGCTGCATCAGGGGAGGGAGAGGAGAGGACCTTTGAGTCAGGTCTGGGGTGGACAAAGTGACCATAGTCCTTACACCAAAGAAGACATTGCTTGAGAAGTTTGGAATGGCTCTGGGTCCTTGGTGCCTAATGTCTTAACCAAGCTTTGAGTGTCACATGCTACAAGCAAGGAGGGAAGGATCGGCAAGCTACAAAGCTCTGATGAAATAATTTATTACACACCTCTATTTTATAAATTTTTGAACCTACTTTTGTATGGTTTTTCACCCAAACAACATTTAAAGACCTTGGTGTGTGTCCAGGCATCAACACAAGGTGATCAGAGCTGAGACCTATCCCAGTGGCTTTCCAGCCTGTGACTTGGATCCTATCCTCCCTGACAGCTGGAGATGTGGGCAGGGGTCTGCTGCTTTGCCCATGGAGGTCAAGGGACCATGAGAGGGTCACTGTGGACTCACCAGTGGGAGTAGTTGCTGTGGCCTGGTGGGTGTAACCTGCAGCAGGAGAGAAGGAGAGAGGCGCGGGGGAGAATGAATATGAAAGTGTGAGTGGGTAAGGACGAAGCCCGCCCAGACATGGAGGACATGGGCTCTACCCTAGAACACAGCACGGGTGGCCCCTGCTCACCATTGACATAGAGACTGTTCTGGTCCAGGGCATAGGGGCCCAGCTGGGTGATGCCGTGGGTCAGTGGGCTCAGCTCCCAGTACAGCTTCTCTCTGTC